ATTTCTGTCTCTGATCTTTTTCTTTTTTCTGTCTTTGTTCCTCTGTGTGTGTGTGTTTCCCCCCTATGCCTCTCTGATCTCTTTGTATTTCCATCTTGAACTCTCTGGGGCTCTGATCCCTCTCTCCCTCTATGTTTCTCTCCCCGTTCCTGTCTCTGTCTGTTTATCTCTCAGTCTCTGTGTGTGTGTGTGTGTGTGTGTGTGTGTGTGAGTCTTTTTTCCTCTCTCCAGTCAGAGTCTCTCTGCCCCTCCCTCCCCCTCTCCCTCTCTGTCTGGGCCTCTCTCTTTCCTCCTCCCTCCTCCCTCTCCCTTCTGCATTATCAGACCTGCTCCAGCCTCCTCCCCGAGCAGCCAAGCAGCAGAGGCAGTGGCGACGGGAGAGGCGGGAGCTGCGGGGCAGCAGAGCTGGATTGGGGTGTTGAGTCCAGGCGGGGTGGGGGGCAGCTCATTGCACTTGGTCCCTGTGCCTGCTGAGGGCGCCCTGCCCGGAGCTCTGGGCGGGGGAGACAGGGCGAGGTGCCACCTTAGTCTGGCTCGGGAGGCGTGATGGGGCAGGCATGCGGCCACTCCATCCTCTGCAGGAGCCAGCAGTACCCGGCAGCGCGACCGGCTGAGCCGTGAGTACTCGCGAGGGGCTGGGGTGGCCAGTGGGCGCGAAAGGTGCCACGAACGGGGTCTTGGGAGTCCCTCCAAGGAGACGGGGTTGGCATGGAGCTGAGCCACGTGGACCGATCAATCCTGCTCTTGGACACCGCTCCTCCCCCCGTTGCTGGACTGCAGCCCGCGGCGGGCGGCCCTGTGTGGGATGGGGGTGCCTGGCATCGACCTAGGAGGTGGTGAGGTGGGGGTCCCGTAGAAGGGCTACTTGCTGGGGGCGGGGGGCTGGTAATAAACGGAACCGTTTCTTCAGGGGCTGGGGGTGGGGAAGGTTTCCCATGGAGTTCAAAGTCACTCTGGGGGCTGAGATAGTCTGGTTCAGGACCCTGGAGAGGGATCGTGTCTTGGACCACGGGGTGCGGGGGTGGGGGTGGGGGTGAGTCTCTGTGTGAAGGAGAGACTATGAAGAAGAGTGGCCCTAGAGTAAGACAGGATCAGGGGATCAGGGGTAACCACCTTCCATGGGATTGTTGGGAGTCAGGGTTCGGGGTCATCACTTTATGCAACTTTACCCCAAAGCATCTGTCCAGGATGGGATAGCGAGAGCCCAGGAACTGGTGGAGTGAGGTGCCAGCCTCGCGTGTGCCCATGTTCAGGGGATGCATCTGCAAGTGACTGGGACCCCATGCAAGTACCCTCTACTAAGGGCGCCACGGAGGTGGCAGGCAGATGACTGTGTGTGTGGGTGTGTGTGTGTGTGTGTGTGTGTGTGTGTGTGTGTGTGTGTGTGTCCAGGTCAGTGGAGGTACAGACCTGTGCAGGATGTGTGAGGGTGTGTGTGTACACATGTGGAGTGGAAGGGACACACTGGGTACAGAAGGGCCTGGAGAGCTCCAGGGTCCTTGGTGGGTGGACCCTCTTGGAGTTCGTGAGCAACCTTGTGTGACACTGAGAGTTTATTTGCAAGTGTCTGAGTGAGTGCAGGTTGGTGTGTATATGTGTGGAGGTGTGTGTGTTAGGTTGAGTTTGTATGTTAACATGCCTGATGATGTGTGTACTGTATCTGTAAAACAGAGTGAGTTAGTATGCATGTTTTTTATCTGTTCCATGTGCATTTGTGTTTTTATTTGTTAGTGTGAGGAGAATAAGGGTGTTGCTGTGTGTGGGTGTATGTGGTTGTGTGTGTTAGCATAAGTGTTCTGGTGTGGGTGTGTGATCATGGTGCTCGTGTGTATGAATGTGTGGTGTGTATGGATTGGTGCTTGTGTGTCTGTGTGTCTATATGTGTGTGTTCATCTGATGTGTGGGTGGGTGGCTGTTTCTTTCCCCTGGTGATTGGGGACACAGCTGGGACACTGTGGCCCACTGAGGCAGGGAGGGGGTGGCTGAATGTGTGGCCACCTCTGTGAGTCCAGGACGATTCATTCTGCACCCTGTGGAGAGATACAGAAAAGAAATAGGCAATAATGACTCTACCCTCTGGGGCCTCCTAAGCTCATAGACATAAAATGCTTGAGAATAATTAAGCAGTGAAGATCAACATCGTGCTAACAGGTGGGGGTGGGGTGGGCACTGTATAGGCAAAGGCCCAGAGGAGCGAGGACATGTAGAGAGAGGTGGGAAGAGCCTGCAGGGATAGGCAGGAGCCACAACCTGCAGAACTTTGAACTCCAGCTCTCTTGGGCTTTGTCCAGAGGGCCCTGGGGAGCCCAGGAAGGCTTTAGGCAGGGGGACGAAGTGATCAGACTTGGGTTTTAGAAAACTGCCTCAGTGGCACTGTCTGGACTGAACTGGAAGAGAGAGGTGGCGCCAGGAGGCCAGAATGGAGGCCTAGTCAATGCCGGCAGCCATGAGGTCTGAGCCTTCTGAAGGGAGACACTGGAGGATTTGGGAAAGGCTGGATTGAAGAGGATGGGGAAGGGAGTGTTGAGGCGGCTCCTGCTTCGACCGAGTTGGGGGTGCAGCGGAGGGACCTCAGAGTCAGGATGTCAGGAGGGAAAAAGCTCTTGGAAGACTCAGGCAAGCTGGGTGTAGGTGGGCAGAGGTAGTGGGAAAGGGCCTCGTAGGGTTTCTGACTAAGACGCAGAGGGTCAGAGATCACGGAGCCATCTCTTGCTGAACAAGGAAACTGAGGCTGTGGCTTCATCTCCCCTTCTGGCTGCAAGGTTGGGGCTGAACCTCTTCCTCAGACCTGATTCTCGGTATCCTCCTTTGGACCCAGAACCTCGTGGTTGGCCGAGCTGAGTCAGTTCGGTGAGGGTTAATTGTCTTTGCCTTCCCTGTACCCTGCCCCCTGCCCGTTCCCCCTGCCCACCAAGCAGCTCCTGCTACTCTTCCTGCTTCCCACTCCAGCCTCCAGTCCCCAGGGACTGCTGATGGCTTGGCTGGGATCTAGCCAAATGGTGGCGGGGGGGTGGGGGTGGGC